TGGTTTATTATATTTGGGTTTTCTTGTTAGTTTAGTTTTATTTTCTATATTTTTGTTTTCAACTTTATCTTGAAATTTTCTATATGGCTTTCTATAAGGTTTTCTATATATTTTTTCTTGTTTTTTATTTATTTTCTTCTTCTTAGCACTAGGAGCTCTTATGGGTTCTAATCCATATTGTTGACAAAATGACCCTAATTCTTTTTTATTAGTCATGCTATCTTTTCTAAGCTTATTTTGTAATCGAGTACATATTTGTATTCCCGTTTCAACTATTAAATTATGGATTTGGCCATATGTTATAGTATTATAAGGTATATGGTATGTTTTAAATCTATTGACTTCTAAAGTATTTATAGACGATTTTAATTTTAATTGATCAAATTTTTTAATAAATTCATCTAATTTAGATTCAGTATTATTACCTAATTTAATAGCTTCTAAATCTTTACGTGGTACATTAAATACTTTATATATTGGTTTTACCTGGTTCTTTTGAACTACCAAGCAATACTTATATTATTATGGTTTTCTTTATTTTCAATTCTAGTTAATTGTTTTGTCATTATTTCTAATATTGTATTAGAATAATTAAGTCTGTGAGTGTAATTTTTTAATGTCTCTGCCTTCTACTATTTTATCTTCATTTTTAGTAACTTTATAAGGACTAGCTTCTATTTGTAATTCTTCTATTTGTAATTCTTTTGAAGGTTGAATTATGATTCCCTCTTGAGGTGGATACTCAAATTCTATGATTTCATTATTAAGAGTTCTCCAACTTGTTGTTATTTTATTTAATGGACTTACAATTTTATTATTTTTAAAAGGATAATCTAAATTATTGATCCTACTATATTCTGAAAACCATTCAAAAAAATATAAATTTATTTCATTTTGTTCTATACAATTATAAAATTCTTTTCTAAATTTTTCAGTTTCTTCTTTAGTATATGTTTTAAAATACCAATTTCTTCTTTCTTTATTATAATTGGCTTCAAAGTCTTCTCTAATCCATTCTTTATCTATCCTAAAGAGGTTTTCTCTACTTAAAGTATTTAATATTTGCGAAGCTATTGGAGAATATTGGGGAGACTCTGATTTTCTTGATTCCTCATATACTGATTTTATTGCTATAGGAGTTATATTATTTAATCCTCTTAGATTTAAATTTATTGTAGACCCATCTACTGAATGTCTCGAAGATTGTCCTTTATATATCATTTGAGGTTCTCTAATTTTTAAAGATGATGTTCTATTCATTTTAAGTCTTATGTCAGGTCCTTCTTGGATTATTTCTCTAATTTGAGTATTATAAATCTTTGGTTCTTCTATAATATTTTCTAATTTCCGTATATGGTTTATTACTTCATTATGACTTAGCCTTTTTGGTATTTGTACAGATGATTTTCTAAGATTTGATTTAAAATCAGGATATTATCAAATTTCGTAGAAGAAAAAGATAAATATAAAACTGCCTTTGTGGTACCTTTTGGACATTATGAATGGAATGTAATGCCACGGGTTTAAAAAATGCACCCAGTGAATTTCAAAACATTATGAATGATATATTTTATAAATATACGAATTTTTCCATAGTATATTTGGATGACATATTAATTTTTTCAAAAAATATAACTAGTCATATAAGTCATTTAGATATATTTATAAAAGTTATGAAGGAAAATGGACTAGTAGTTTCAGAAAGAAAATGAAAATATTTCAAACAAAAATAAGATTTTTAGGATATGAAATTTATCAAAATACTATAGTTCCAATACAAAGATCATTAGAATTTACAACAAAATTCCCAAATGAAATAAAAGATAAAACCCAATTACAAAGATTCTTAGGATGTGTTAATTATATAGCAGATTTTATTCCTAATATCGAATCATTTGTGCACCATTATTTAGAAGATTAAGAAAAAATCCACCTCCATGGGAAGAAGAAATGACTAAAGCCATAATAAAAATAAAAGAATTAATTAAGAAGATTCCTTGTTTAGGTATCCCAAACCCGAAGCCTTCTTAATAGTAGAAACAGACGCTTCGAATTAGGATATGGGGGAATTCTAAAACAAAAAATTCAAGAATCTTCTAAAGAACAAGTCGTCAGATATCATTCGGGTATTTGGCATCCAACACAACAAAAGTATTCTACCAGTCAAAAAAAGAAATTTTATCAATTGTTTTATGTTTACAAAAATTTCAAGATGATTTATTTAATAAAAAGTTTTTAATTAGAACTGATTGTAAAGCAACACCAAGTGTTTTAACCAAAGATGTTCAAAACCTAATTTCTAAACATATTTTTGCAAGATGACAAGCTTTATTATCTTGTTTTGATTTTGAAATAGAACATATAAAAGGAAAAGATAATTTTTTACCAGATTTCTTAACCAGAGAATTTTTACAGGATAAAAGACTATGAGTGAAAAGCCATTGAAGAGATATCAATATGGCCCCCACCGGGGACCACAAATACAGGTATGACAATATCTTTAAGACCACAAAGTCCACAAGCTAAGGCAACCTTAGCGAAATATTAAAAACTCCACCGCCAATATAGAGAAATCCTCTGATCAATGCCTCAAACAGATTCACCCCTTTGCAATATTCCCATACCTTAATAAGTCCAAAAGACATTATGGCCTCTTCTTCTCGTCAAGACCTTATTTCTAAAATAGCCACCCAAACTGCCACCTATCAAGATGATTATTATATCAAACCAGACACATTACCTATAATAACCTTAGAAAAATCTTGGATCCAAGCAAAATGCAAAATCAATATCTCAATATATCTTCCCAAAAGAAATTTATTATCTCGCCCATAAGTCTAGTTAAAAACAGAACTTTTTATGAGTTTATAATTGTACACACCGACTCACTGAAATTATACATCGACGGATGAACACTGTACCATTCAATATTCTAAATTAAAGATTTTAAACATACTTTCATAAGAAGAATGGGAACACCCACCTTATCATTTAAGATTCTTTTCCGTAACCTTTAATCCTCAAACCTATAACTATTATGATTATATGGATGCTTGGTATAATGCCTTATATGTATACCCAGGAAATCATTCCTGGTTTGTATGGTTCAAAAAAGGGATTTCATTAAAGTTTCCAAAATGGTTCATTAAATGGTTCTCACATATAGGACCACTTTCCTCTATCTTCCTGTCAAAAGTTTAGAAGTATATAACTATTTTCGACAAAAAACCTCCTTTGAACAAGGATACAGGTTAATTTCATTCATTGCTACTCAATCAATAACCTGGATAGTAGCATGGGACTTCATCATTGAACAATTATATGAAAATGCTTATATAAGAGTTTTGTCAAGACAATTCAAAATCAAATGGTGGAAGAAATTTAACTTGGACATCATTAATAAATAAAGAATAGACATATGACAATCCAATTATCAACAACATCAAGAAAATCCTCATCAAGTGTTAACCAAGGAGTCATTATTTTTAGCTGAAAAACAGAGATTAAGGACAGAATTAGCCTTCGCATCAAGCTTAGAAGAAATGGAGAAACTTATCAAAGAAAAATCAACCTCCAAGACTCCATCGAAGAAAACAGATGGACACTCTAATCCATTCAACATGTTCGACTGATTGACAAGACAAAAGAAAGAAAGAGAGCAAAAGAGATAAAAAGCAAGCTTATCATCTGCGACAAAGTCAAAAGCAACCTTATCATCTGAAAGCAAAAGGACGACAAGATAAAAAGATAACAAGGACAACCTTATTATCAACATTATTGAAGGACATTTATGTAAATTAAAAGACTAAGATTGAATATCATTTATTTGGTCCTTAATACTAAGATTGAGGGAGAAATATAGTAATTTATGAATATCATTTTATAAAAGTAGACAAATACGAAATTTACACATCTTTTATTCTCTTTTTTCCCTAATTAATTATATATAAAAAAATCTTCTTCTATCATCTTTTCTAAGAGAAGATTGAATCTAGATTAATTAACATAAAATAATAACGTAAAATAAAAGGTATGTATATCATTTTATAAAGGGTCTGCAAATACAGTAATCAACAGATCTTTTATTCTCTTTCTTGCCTAATTAGTTATATATAAAAAAAAATCATCTTCTATCATCTTCTCTAAGAGAAGATTGAATCTAGATTAATTAACATAAAATAATAACGTGAAATAAAAAGAAAGTTCACATGCATACGTTGTTTTTTGTTCTTTTGTTTATCTTTTTGTCTCTAAAAGGGAAAGATACGAATTAAAAAAATTATAATTTATGAAAATTATACCAATCTCAATATTGTATATATAAAATTAAAGGTGGAAGATATTATCAGATAATTATTTATTATATTCAATTATAAAAATAAGAATTAATCCATGATAAATAATTAATCTTAATATTATAATTAAAATAACTATTTTTAGTATATTTTTTACACTATTATCTAATTAAAAAAATGTCATATATATATATATATATATATATATATATATATATATTAAAATTATTGACTTTTATTAAATTATTCATGAAACTTATTTTTAAATTATCTGATAACATACAAATAAAACTAAATGTACATTAAATTTGAACAAAAAATTCTTTATCGTAAATAAGTTGTCCATAATTAAAGAATGTTTGTAACTACATCTCAAATATATGGAAATAAGTCGTTATGAGTAAAACTTGATACCCGGTGTCATTCCTATCATCTCAATTCTCTTATTTCTCACAGTTGCCTTTGAAACGCACAAATATATACAAATATCTTTGCTCTCATCTTCATATTCTACACGTGGTATCAATTTTTAATCCCCAAATATTGGTATATGAGTAATACACTCATATCATCTTCTTTTATTCATTCTAACACCTTCTACTGAATCTGCATATATTGCTGCTGCTCCTCAGCCAGAAGAAGCACAAGTGGGAATTCATTCATACTTTCTTAAAAAAACATTGAGAAGGAGAGAAGGGAAGAAGGATGGATCACCAAGCTGAAACTAATAGAACTGATTTGATGACTATCACACGCTTTGTTCTGAACGAACAGTCAAAGTATCCTGAATCACGTGGCGACTTCACCATCCTTCTCAATAACATTGTTGTTGGATGCAAATTCATTTGTTCTGCTGTTAGCAAGGTTTTTTTCTTTACTATACACATCAAAACGTCATTTTCTTAAACATTTGAAAAAACCATATTTTTTACAGAAAAAAAAAAGTTTTCCCCAGTCCATTGTGTAGTCAGGATTTGACATTTTATTTTTGGTGCATTAATTTTTCCATATTTTGTTGGCCACTTTTTATGGCAGGCTGGATTGGCTAAACTCATAGGACTTGCAGGAGAGACCAATGTTCAAGTAAGTTGTATGTTTCATGTTTTGAAAAAATCATTGATACACGAACACCTAGCACTTTTGAGTTAGCATTTAGGTCAAATCCAAATTTTAAATACCTTATCAAAGCTTTTCAAAGTTTTAAGTTAAAGATCTCACGTTAACTAATGATATTAAGTAATTATACTCAATCCTTTAGCTTTTGGCACTATACATCAATCAATCAATAATTGTTAAGCAAGACTTAAATCAAAAGGTTTTTGAGGTTTGTAATGAGATTGAGCTAAGAAAGAATTATTAGTTTTTTTGAGATATACAAAAATATTTGAAAAATTCAACTCATATGAACGATTCTTGATTAACAATTCCTCAAGTCAGGTTTCAAATTTCATGTTTTTGTCCCTAACACAATGACAATGAGTTAATAACCTCATAAGTTATTGCCCCCCTTTTGACTTTTTTTTTTTTTTTTGCTTTTGCATGTATCCTTTTTTTTACTTTGCAAATTTTTAAGCTTTCCTTTTCCTTTTTCTTTACACTTTTTTTGAATTATTGGCAAGCGTACCAAAATTATCAATCGCAGTATAGTATTTCGATAAAATAAAAGTCGATCCCACGAGGAACAGTTTCAATGAAAATTCTCAATTATACTTACTAAGTAGATTAAAACAGATTGAGTTTTGCAAATAAGAGTTGAATTAAAATTAAATGACAAAGAACTGTAAATTGTTGAGAAAATATCAATTAAAGGTACTTAGGATTGGTTCCCTTCCTTATCCCTCTTTTGTAATGACTATGTCAATTAAGAACGTCAATTAACCTAACAATGTTGATGTCACCTATTCAAATCATCCATGTTGATTCCTCACACATGAAATTCATAAGAAAACCTAATAAATGTTGATTCATCACACAATTAACAGATTTTCCAGCATTAGGGTTAGGGTGTTTAAGCAATTGATACATTCATTCCATTCTTGGCAATTAAAGTAACAAATATTCTTACCGTGATCAAGATATATTTTCCAATCATACCTCAAACAATCAAGAATAAATAATTCCAAAGCATAAAGGATAAGAATAACAACATCAAAGCATAGATTAATATCTCAAAATATCACCATGATACAAAAGAGTTCAAAGGAAGTGCACCGAATCCTAAGAGAATGAAGTTAGTCACTCATGTTGGCCATTACAATGCTCCAATTGATGAAGAAGTGAAGAATTGATGAAGATTAGACAAAACCCTAATAGTAGTCGTGCCTCCTCTCCTCCAAGACTGTTTGCTTTTCTCAAAACACAACTTATCTTTTTATAAGAGAATTTGGGTCGGGTCTCGCATCATTCATTCGCTTAAGCGCTCTTCTTTCTTTCAATTTTACTCCAATTATGCTGACAATTATGCTCCTTACTCTTGTATCAAGGTATTCTCGAATTCATATATATTAGAATTATAATAAGTTAAGTGGTTTCATAACAATTCAAAGCATAATTATATCAACTTTTTACCACTTAACACATGATACAAACAAAAAGTAGTAATGATATATGTTTTTAATTACACTATTATACTTTGGTGTTTTATCTTATTAGAGGTATAAGTATACCCCCTTTTGCAGGGGGAGGAGCAAAAGAAATTGGATGTACTTTCAAAATGAAGTATTTGTGAAAGCCTTAACTAGCGGTGGACGCACAGTAAGTGTGTTTATAGTTGTTGTTTTATTTATTATCCTTTTCTTTGAATTTGAGTTTGACTCTGTGCTTTCCGGTAAAATTCCGATCTGTTGTCTTAACAGTGCATTCTTGTTTCTGAAGAAGTTGAAGAGGCTATATTTGTGCCGCCATCAAATCGTGGCAAGTCAGTTCAAAGCTCTAGAACCAACTAATACTCCATCTTTTAGTAGTATTGATAAGATACATTATCTGGATAAAGTAACAAGTTCCTTTTGATTTTTCAGATACATTGTTGTATTTGATCCTTTGGATGGATCCTCAAACATTGACTGCGGAGTTTCAATTGGAACTGTATGATTTTTTAATTTCAATTGCCAGAGAAAATTGCTGCATTTGAAAACTTCAAATATTATTTTAAGTACCAGCATTTTCTCTGTTGCATATAGATCTTTGGAATTTACATGGTGAAGAATGAGGCAAAAGTAAGTCTTGAAGATGCATTGCAACCTGGAAACCAAATGTTAGCAGCTGGTTACTGCATGTATGGAAGCTCTTGCACGGTAAAACAGACAAAATCTGTGCTACACGACTTGTATAACTTTTTTTATTTTTTTTAAATTCCTTTTCAAAACAAACTTCAAGGTTATCCTTTTTTTATATATATAAAAAAGTTAATTGGAAGTTGTATAATTTTCTAATCGAATATCTGATGCTGATTGAATAAACAAACTCTGGAATATTGCAGTTAGTGCTTAGCACAGGAAATGGAGTTAATGGTTTTACACTTGATCCTTCCCTTGGAGAGTTCATACTAACTCACCCAAACATCAAGGTACATATATATATATATATATATATATATATATATATATATATATATATATATATATATATATATATATATATATATATATATATATATATATACATATACATATATGCACATGGCAGTGAAATTGGCATATCAAGATATTGGAATTTTTAACAGGAAAATCGAAATATTCTTCCATGAAATAAGGCGTAGTAGCACATTGCACATAATTTTGTGTGTTGAAGTTAGACCATTAAAGTGGAGCTTTCAATTTTATTTTTTATTTTTTTAATTACTATCTGTTACTTGCATAGATACCAAGGAAAGGAAAGATTTATTCCGTGAATGAAGGAAATGCCAATAACTGGGATGAACCAACTACTAAGTAAGTTACGGGGATTCTCTCACCTGGTATTTGAAATCTAATTGAACGTGAAATAAAATAGCTGGTTTAATTTATGAATAATTCTTTTCACAAATGACACTGTTCTTGACACTTTTTCTTCCATTCTATAGATATGTACAAAAATGCAAGTTTCCTCAAGATGGTTCACCAGCAAAGTCTCTTAGGTACATAGGAAGGTATTTGGTTCTGAACTTATTGTATATTCGTGGCCTTCTTTCAAATGTCTTCATTTCAATTCTAACCATGATAAGCCACACAGTATGGTTGCTGATGTCCATCGAACATTGCTTTATGGTGGTATCTTCATGTACCCTGCTGATGTAAAGAGTCCAAACGGAAAGCTTAGGTATGATATACTTTGAATTAGCTTCAAGGAAAACTAAATTCTCAGTCACACTGTTGCACATGTTTCCAAATCTGGACATGTTTTCTGCGTTACATGCATGACTCATTTATGAAATTTCACTGTGAAATCAGGATTCTCTATGAAGTATTTCCAATGTCATATCTGATGGAGCAAGCAGGAGGTCAGGCTTTCACAGGAAAACAACGGGTACCCTTTCATTTTTCTTTGGCCTCATAGTTTATTGCTGCAAAGACTTCATTTAATGTCCATTGGTAAAAACTAAAGAACGTAAAAATGGTTGCATTGCATGCATTTTTGCTTCTTGAATCTGGCATGTGGACCATATTGGTCGGATTTGATATTACATCAGATGGATCCCTTTTTTGAATTCATTTACTTAGCAATAAACTGTTTAAGAAGCTACAATATTCTAACTTACGAGCTCTTGAAGCTTTGTGTATGAATACATTCCTTGTTTCTGAATGGATTGGCAAATTGCAGGCTCTTGACTTGGTTCCAAGAAAATTGCACGAACGATCACCGATATTCCTTGGCAGTTACGATGACATCGAGCAAATAAAAGAGCTTTACGCATCATCCAAAGCGGATGGTGCATGAATATTGTCTTTTAATTTCTTTTCATTTGTTCTTGGACTTGAAAGTTACTTTGGATATCACAATAGTTTCGGTAGAACATTCTGTTTATACAAAAAAGTTATAAAGAAAGCAACCTCGTCAAGTTTTAAAGATAAAATGATTGTTCCGTGTTACTAGAATCTCCACGAGGTCGAGAACCACATTGATTCGGTGTGCAAAAAATGCTACATAAAAAAATTCCTGGCTATATTTCTGGCAATCCCTGATTTGGGGTGAATTGGGTTTCTGTATATTTTCTTAAATTTTTTTCTTTTTACAATTCGGCCCAAATGAAATTCAACCCAATTTGCCTTACTGTAACGGCTCTTGCTTTTTGAACCTTCATAATTTTTGCTTGCACTTTCGTACTCCATCTCAAATATCTAAAATACCTTTTTCTTAATTTTGATTTTTACTCTAACTTCTTCTTTTATTTGTGTACAACTTCTTCATCTTCATCCTTTGATTATTTGATTTTTTTGTGCTATCACCTTCATTGAATATATTTTCTAACAATAAAAGGTAAATATTCATTAATATTAAATAAACTCAAATTGTTTAATCTGAAATAATATCGCAAGAATGAGGTTGAATTTTACAAAAATTAATATAAAAATATGTTCCAGACTGAATATTCCAAAAAAGTCAATTTAAAAATTTATTTAAAAATGTATTTTAGATTGTGTGTTCCATGATATGTTTCAAAAAGATCAATTTAAAAATGTACTCCAAAATACCCATTCTGAAATATATTTTAGAAAACTCAATCCAAGAATGCGTTATAAATTAGATATTTGAAAATGTGTTTTTAAAAAGTTCAATCCAAAATACATTGGAAAATGAAGATGAAAATAATTATAAATATAAAATGGAATTTAAATTCATTATATGGTATAGGAAGAAATAATGAGGGTGAGGGAAGCAATACCCGTATAACTTGTCATAGGATGCTAATTAATAAGCCCCCGCCAACTAGCACTTAATAACATTGGATTCAGCAGATGGTCAAAATTTGTGCCCATTGAAAAAGTTAAATTCAACAATGGAATTAATTCTAATTTAGTTTATGTCTAAATCAAAATTAGTATTTTAACATGCACGTGAATTTTTTTTCCTATTAACACTATAATTCAATTTAAACATATTAGTTTATTTTAAAAATAAAGTTAATATAACATATGCTGAAAGTATTTGTGATTACGGAGATTAAGTATTTAAAAAATGTTAAAAAAGAGTAATTTAAAATAATTTAGAGAAACATTTTTTTTGTCTAGTTATGATGCACACCCAAATAAGATACAATAAATAATATTGAGAATGTTTTTCTAAGTTGTATATTCTAATTCTGAAAAACAATGTACATCCTATCTGTGTACTGTAAAGCATGATCTATATAATAAAATTTATAATAATTATTTTGAACTGAAATTATATTTTTTATATGTAATAAATAATTTAAATTGTAATATAATATTCTTTAATTGAATAGATGAACAGTTAAAAAAATTGAAGTGCCCAAGATAGAATTATAGTAGGAGACATTTGAGATATGCATTTATTTTAAATATATATATATATATATATATATATATATATATATATATATATATATATATATATATATATATATCTTTTCAATCTATTTATATTAGTAAGAGAGAAAATTTTGATTCATGAAAATAAAATAGATATTTTTTTTTATAAGTTACATATTACATTTGCTGATGGTTATATCAGAGTTTTGAAAAGCCACAGTTGCATGCTGTAATTTCGAAGAGTGTGATATGATTGTTTAGAATATAATAAGTTGAAAACCCTATTTTATATTATTATTATTATTATTATTATTATTATTATTATTATTATTATTATTATTATTATTATTATTATTATTATTATATACTTTATATTATTAATAAAGGTATTAGATTGTATATAGCCGTTTTTTTTATATGTAATTTCTTTCCATGTAATACATTATATTATATGATTGTTTTAAATTTTTAATTTTTTTTCATTTTTTATTATAATTCTTTCTTTATTATTTTAAACTATTTTAATAATATTTTTTCTTAAATTATAGACACTAATTATTTTTAAAGTTATAATTTTATACTTAATTATTTTGTAATCTTTTTTTTTAAATATGGACATCAACACTATAATTAATACATATGCTATGTTTTTAATAATAATAATAATCTATAACTTTTTACAATAAAGATTTGTTTTTTAATCGTTTTTTTTATTGGAAAAAAAATAAAAGTGTTATAATTTAAAGACAAATAGTTATTATAATTTATATGTTTAATAAATTTTAAAAATATAGAAAAAAGAAAAAAAGTGAAAAAAATTAGAAAGTGAAAAGAGAAAATAAAATAGAATTTTAAATATAATTATCAAGGTATTATTTTTCATTTTAAAAAGAATATTAGGAAAAGCAAAATAATACACGTGATCTATTTATGGAACATGCATTTTTAAATATAAATTGTAATTAATTTGGTACTGGTTTAGGAAAAGAAGAAAAACACAAGAAACAAGCAATGTAAGGAAAGAATGAGAACACAGATAGGTCATAAAAGAAGTACTACATATTCAGATAATGCAGAAAGGTAACACACAAACCTTAATTAGAACTTGGTTTCTGATGCAAGAGTGACATGTGGACGTCATTTATTTCATGAAAAACGCTATTTTGTTCAAACTTGTAACGAGTTTTTGAATGAGAAGGAAGAAGTTGCTGATTATCTGAATTAAACTAACGGGTCTCCTTAAAGTTCTGGAGGCCACAAAAATGGTAGAGAAGCTTATAAAAGCGATGCAGAGGAATGGGGTTGAAAAAGCATATATTCTTCTCTTCTCTTTGCTTGGCGTCATCGTCACCTGAGGGAGAAGAATCAAGCATCTTGATTCCTTCTCCCCCACTCTTGCAGTAAACAAAAAAATGGGCAACTGTCGTAGCAACCCCGAGACCAATGAACCCGACACTGTCTCCGAGGAACAGCTGAATATGGTCGAACAGCATGAAGATAACATGGCTCACGAAAATGTGGAGGAGACCGCTGTTGTCTGGGATGAACACTCTCCAAGCAGCACCAATCAGGTATGTCAATATTAACATTACTTCCATTTTTTGTCATTCTTTTCTTGGAGGCATTGTGATGATGCATGTAATGAGATTCTGATATGGTGTGTGTGGACAGAGTAACGAAGAAAAGAAAGAAGAGGGATCCAGTTGAAGACAGAGAAGAAAGCAAGAGCGAGGAGGTGAAGGTTGAGGCCAAGAAAGAAGAGAAAACCGATATAGAACTCACCACCACTCAGAACTTGTAAATATTGTTGTTGGTTTAAACCTAAAAACATTACACACTTTCATGTGCTTAGTGATGTTCCATTTAATTAATTCATTATGAAAATTTTATTATTGTTTTTATTTAATTCCGAATATATTCACGTCGTTTATTATTGTTAGCACAGATCTGTGAAACAAAAGAATAAAGAAATATAATGATAAAATAAAAAAATAAAGAGAAGATTATCAAAATAACATATACTCTGCATGTTCTCTTATTAACGAGGCTTATTTACCTTTATAATAAAAAATTCAAATTTGATAGTAATGTAATTTTTATGGTAAAATTTTTTTGTTATTCTTTTTTTCTATTATTTTCTTACATATTATGTTAATTTTTATGACCACCTAAAAATAAAAAACTTTCTCTTTTAAGTTATCAATATAGAATACAATATAAAATAAATATATGCGATAAGACTACAAGTTTTATTTTATATTTGTTTAAGATCAAGATAACGCAATTACCAGGTTAGATTGTACGAGGAAGAAAATAATTTTTAAAAAATATTGTTTTTTTCATATATTTTTTTTCAACTAATCATATTTAATTTTAATTTTATTCATCACACATTTTCATTTATCACTTTTATTTTCATCTAATTTATTATCGTATTTATTAAACAAAACATTAAAAGCCAAAATGTTTTAATATTTTTTTAAGATTAGAATATTATGATACAAAGAGAAATGTTTTAATTATTTTTTTAAGATTAGAATATTATGATACAAAGAGAATTATGATACATGAGTTTAAAAATATATTTAATTTGATAAGTGGGTTGAAAAGGTGAGAAATAAGTTAAATTAGATTTAAAAAAATTATAATTTAAATTAAAGGTCAAAATTATTTATATAATGATTTGCATGAGTTCAGATATGATAATACATGTTGTTATTGTAAGTTCATAGAATAATAATTATTTTTTGAATAAAAATAAAAATAATATTTTTTTATTATATATATTATATAAATTAATTTAGTAAATATTATTTATTTTAACAGTAAATATAAAAATAAGTCTCTAATAATTATTTTTTTAAAATCTAATTATTAAAATTAATTATTATTTTAAATTAATAAATTAATTAAAAAATATAATAATTAAATATAAATTTTTATCTCATATTTTAATATTGAATGTATTTTTTTTATAATTTATATATTAAATAAAAATTATTTTTATTAGTATAATTAAAATTTTAAAAATATTTTTTTATCTCAAATTTTTATTTATATATTATTTTTTTTAATTTTAAATTAGACTAAAATTTATCTGTTAAGCCAATAATCTAAAATATTATCAGGTTATACTAAAAGCCATGGTGTATTTTAAAATTGAGACCAAATTGAGTCATAATTTTTATTTATATTTTTACCTTTGAGATCAAGCCAGATTGGAGAGATAATCTATTTTCACAACAAATATGAAAAATATTAAAAAATTTAAATAATAAGGTTTTCTATAATTATTGACCACTGTTAAAGTTACATAGGCCGAAAGATAAATATTAAACAAATCTTAAGAAAATATTTTTAGTATTACGTTATTTTTTAATTATTATTAATTTATAATTTCTATATTATCATTATTAGTTATGTTATTATTATGATAATATGTCATTTATTTTTTATAAGAGCATAATAATTAATGTTATTATTATTATTATGGATAATGTTGATAATGATAATAATTATAAAATAAAATATTTAAATATTTATATTAAAAATATAATATATTTTTATACACAAGAGAAGTGAGAAGCCAAAAGAGTGAGATATTTTTGGAGAAGGTTTGAATTCCAAGGTTTTTCTCAACCACCCACTAACATATATCAACATGACAGGGAAACACATGTAGAATTGAAGCAGAAAAGGTAACAAAGAAGAAGGTATATATGTTTGTACAATCAAAATTTGTTTTGTTCTTAATTTCTTATTACTAAACCACATGCTACTTTTTGTTTGGTGTAGATACAATAATCCAAATGCTAAGTGCACATTGTTTAATATTTGATTTTGTTTTAGTTTACCATATTAACACTATATTATCCTAGTTTCTTCTGCTATATAAAAACCTAAAAAGTCATTGTCCATAAAAATGTTATTTTAATATGAAACTTGAAGAATGCATTGCACATTTCATGAAGCCACGTCGTTTTGTTTGAAAGAATCATCACCACCCATTGCTTTACTTTTTACTGCTTTCATATGAAACCCTAATTCGTAATACCATCACGACACACATATAATGCTCATGGTACATTTTATGCCATAATAAAGCATACCTTCTCATAGGTAATTTTACAAAAATGCTAGATATAAAATAAAAATCAGTAAAAATCTGTGCTTTTTATTATTTTTAATTTGTATATTCTCTTCGAAACCTCACCAAAAATCTTTTGCATAATAGAAAAACTGTTGTTGCAAACTATTATTACTTATCTTCAATCTATAATCTAGTCATAATCTATTTATACTAAGTATTGGGTCAAGATCTTCTAAAATGTTTATTTAAAAAATAGATATTTAGGTTTTATATTCGACAAGAGTTCTTATATTTTGTTTTATTAGGTAAGTTATATAGAAATGAACTATTTGAATACTATACAACTTATATCACAAGTCAGATTTAAACACTACACACAAATCGAATCTAAATATTATATAAAATATTGTATTTTGAATGAATGTGAAAATAATATATACATTAAAAAGATCAATACAAGAAATAAAAAGTAAATTAAAAAAGTTGCTGTTAAAAATCTAACATCTTCTATTTTATATTATATTATATGGTAAAATTTAAATAAGATTTAAAAGTACTCAAATTTTGATTTACGAAAGATACATATATAGCTTACATATTTAGTCGGTAATGAAAGATATGCATAATTGCATCCGTTATATATATATATATATATATATATATATATATATATATATATATATATATATATATATATATATATATATATATATATATATATGTGTGTGTGTGTGTGTGTGTGTGAATTGGTAGCTTAGACGGAATCGCGAAAGGAGAAGGAAATAATGCGCACTGTCTAAACACATAATTAAGACGAAGCATGTGATAAAGAGAAACTAACCAACCTTTCCGATTATAGTTTTGTCCTTATAAAATTCCAATAGCTTTTAGTGACACTTGTGAGTAAAGCTTGCACATGCTTCTTGCCCCCATCATCATCATTCCATTTAATTGGAAGCACATCCCAAACTCTTTTCATTCTTCACCAATTAATGGAATTCTAAGACCCCCACTAACCCCTCCCTTTTCCGTACTCTTACTCTCTCTTCCTTCATGTTAACCAAATCTGTGTGCTTAACATCCAAATTGGTATTTGCTTCTTATATTCTATGTCAGATTAGGCACTCTTCATTACTCTCTCCAAAAACATTTTTTTTTTACGCAACACGTGCTGAAAGTCCTGTATCACCTATTGTGATAAATTAGTATTATGTGAACCTTCACAATTCATTTTCATGCTTTTATGCAAACTTATAAGATATAAATCATTACCCTTTTCAATAATTATTTTATATATGTAAATATCTTCCCATGCTCAATATGTCTTATTCTATACACACCCGTTTCATTAATAGCTTTTATACCAATTTGACATCTTATCCTTCTACTTCCATGTTTTTTAGAAGAATATGGTTTTATTCAATAATTAGCATCAAGACTTACAAACTAATTTAAACACATGTAAAATAATAAAATCTTATTATTTTTAATTATTTTAAATTAGATGGACTACTAACATTTTAATTCTACTTCTTGTGAATGAGGAAGACTCTACTTAAAGAGAAAAAAATCCATTTTGATGTTTTCTATACTTCCATCATCAATAGATATCCTTACAATATATACCATCGAAACATAAGTATATCTATATTTTCCAAAAAACTGTTAATAAAAATATATAAAAATTAAAGATAAAATCTTATTTAAAAAATTTATTAAAAAATAGTTATAGAATATTAAAAATAAAATAAAAAATGAATTGAAAAACATAGAATTCTTTCTATAATTTTATTTATATAATTTTTGTACACAGATACTATGATCTTATAATGTTTTACTCCATCAAATCAAGACTAAATAAAGAAAGTTCCGATTATACAATATTTTGTTCCGCTATATAAACTTATAATTTAGCTAATCAAATATCTTTATCCCAACACTCCCCCTCAAGTTGGTAAATGGATATCATACATTCCCAACTTGTCCAATAATCTCCTAAAAATCTGACTTGTCACAACTTTGGTAAGAATGTCTATCAGCTGATCTTCAGATAGAATATTTGGCAATTCCAGAATATTTTTATCAAACTTTTCCTTGATGAAAAATCTATCAACCTCCACATGCTTCATCCGATCATGTTAGACAGGATTGTGAGCAATGTCGCGCGCAACTTTATTATCACAATATAACTGAATGGGACATGTATGTGCATACCCTTAATCCTGGAGAAGTAGTTTGAGCCACAAACCTTCACAAAGTCCAAGAATGATTCCTCTAAGTTCAGCTTCTGCATTGAATCTAGCTACAACTTTCTGCTTTTTGCTTTTCCATGTGACAAGATTACCTCCTACAAATGTAAAGTATCCAGATGTTGATCTTCTATCATCAAGAGCATCTTCCCAATCTGCATCAGTATAAACCATCACATCCTTATAGTTAGAGTTCTTCTTGAACATAACTCCTTTTTCAAGAGCAGCTTTTATGTACTTTAAAATCCGTATAACAGCATCCATGTGTTTTTCACTTGGATTGTGCACGAACTAACTAATTACACTAAGAGCATAAACTAAATCCGGTCTGGTGTGTGAGAGATACATCAATCTCCCTACAAGTATCTGATATCTTTCCTTGTTAGTTGGAATTTGATCTTCTTCAATGCACAACTTCAATCCCCCTTCAATTGGAGAATTTTCTGGTTTGCATGTTGTCATTCTAGTTTCTTTTAGTAAATCCAATGAATATTTTCGTTGTGAGAGAAAAATACCTGACTTTGATCTTGAGACCTCAATTCCAAGAAAATACTTCAAAGGACCAAGATTCTTCATCTCGAATTCCATTGCCAAGTACTCTTTCAATGCCTTGCGTTCCTCTAGATCGTTTCTTGTAACTATCATGTCATCAACATAGACAATAAGATTTGTGATCTTTCTTTCCTTTTTCTTTAGAAACAAGGTATGATCTTGGTTGCTCTATTGATATCCAAAAGCAAGCATTGACTTGGTGAATCTACCAAATCATGCTCGTGGCGATTGTTTTAGTACATACAATGACTTCTTTAACTTGCATACATTCCTGCTAAGTGTATTCGGGATCCCACATCCTTCTGGTAGCTCCATATAAACTTCTTCAGACAATTCCTTATGTAAAAATACATTTTTTACGTCAAATTGTTGTAAGGACCAATCAAGGTTTACAGCTAGAGATAACAATACTCGAATTGTACTAATTTTGGCTACGGGAGCAAACGTTTCAGTGAAATTTATTCCATATGCTTGTGTGTATCCCTTTGCCACTAATCTAGCTTTGAATCTCTCAATTGTGTCATCTGTATTAAATTTCACAGTATACATCCATCACCATCCTACTAGTTTCTTTCCAACTAGACAATCTACCAATTATCATGTTTTATTACTTTGCAAGGATCTCATCTTCTCATTCATAGCATCCTTCCACCTAGAGTCAACTAAAACTTCCTGCACACTGTTAGGAATAGATACAGTAGATAATTAACTTATAAATGCGATATTTGAGTTAGACAAATTCTAGTTACAAATATAATTACTCATAATGTATCTTGTCTTACTGGTGAGGTCAGGATCATAAGTAGACTTAGGGATACCTCTAGTGACACGATCTGGCAGAATTCTTTTTTTTTTGTATTAGGTTCTTGAGGGGATGATTGGTGTGGTATATCATTAGCATCAACAGACAAATTTTTTATCTCAACATGCTCAAAATCTTTCTCATTATGTGGTTGTTGATCATCACATTGTTGCACATTTTCATCATCTCCTGATACAACTTTGTAACTTTCTTTCTCCAATTTGGCCTCAATATCAATTTCTTGAGGAACAAAAGTTTGAATTTCATCGTAATTCTCCCCCTAAATTTCAAACTCGGGGGAAAAATATATCAACGTTTCATGAAAAACTACATCTATATTAGTAATCATTTGCTTGGTTTGTAGATTGTAGCACCGATATCCTTTCTGGTGATCCGCATAGCCAAAGAGCACACACCTTTCAGCTCTAGGAGACAACTTACTTTTCTTATGTTTGTGTAAGTGAACATAAGCAACACAACTAAAAACTCTATGTGTTAGTTCAACAATTTTAGGACTTACTACTACATCTATAAGTGATTGAAGAGGTATTTTATACTCAAGAGACCTGGACGGTGTTCGGTTGATAGTGTATACTGCATATGTGAGAGCTTCTCCCCAATATATGTTATCATGTGAGCTCCAATCAGTGCAGCTCGGACCACCTCCAATAGATGACGGTTCTTTCGTTCTGCCACCCCATTCTGTTGTGGAGTATTTGGACAAGATCTCTGATAAACAATTCATTTGGCTACTAAAAAACATTGAAGTTCTGATTACATATATTCTCCTCTGTTGTCACTACGCAGTACCTAAACTTGTATTTTGTATTGGGTCTCAATCATTTTGCAGAATTTCTGAAATAGTCCTTCAACTTCAGTTTTAGACTTCATCAAACATAACTAAGTCATTCGAGTACAATCATCAATAAACGATACAAAGCACGTTAAGCCACCCAACATTGTAACCTTAGATGAACCTCACACATAAAAGTGAATGATCATAAAAGGAAGAGAACTTTTATTTGAAATTAAAGGAAAATATGTTTTGTGACTCTTTGCAAGCTCACAAATATCACAATAAAAAGTTGAAGTGTCTACTTGGTCAAATACATTTGGAAATAATTTCTTTATGTAACCAAAAGATGCATGTCCTAAACGCTTATGCCATAACCAAATATTCTCGCCTTTTCTTATTTTTTTGAAACCCTTTTGTTGCTAGCAGTTGACCAAGTCTCTTTGAATCTTTTTCTGTCAGGTCCAGGTAATACAACCTTCCTCGCCTAATACCACAATCATTTGTCTTCCTCGTTTGAATATCCTTAAAAAAACAAGAGTCAGACCAAAAAATTACAACACATAAAATAGTTTTGGTTATTTGCGAGACTGACAATAGGTTATATTTAAGAGAAGGAACAACAAGGACAATATCAAGGTTCAAATTGTTTGAAATAGAGACAGTTCCTTCTCCAATGATAGTGGATTTACTACCATTGGCTGTAAAAATAATTTTTTGTGAGGAAGGTTTAAGATTTTTAATCTGTCTAACATCAAAAGTCACATGATCAGAACACGCAGAGTCAATTATCCATGTATTATTCAGAACGGTAGATGTGCGTATTAAAGCCTTACCATTGAAATTATCACTACCTGCGATTGTAACAAGCATCATGCCTTTGTCGTCCTCTTTGTCAATGGTAGTTACAGTAGCAACAGTTGGATTATTTTTTTTAATTCTTCTTCGATGCTCGACTGTGATCCCACCACTCGAGGTATCATATGATTTCATAGCATTGTTCCTTGGTGTGTTCATCCTTATTACACTGAGTACACTTGTAGTTACATTTTTAAAAATCTTTTGATTGTTTCGATTTGCTATAATGATTTGATGGCTGCTTCTTTGTCATCATAGCTGTGGAATCAGAAATCATATCTTCTATTTTCAACGTTGTTTACCGGATTGTCTCTCTTCGGATCAATGCATAACATTCTTCTAAATCAGGTGTCACTTCCTTGCGCAAGATTTCTCCACGAACTTGCTCAAAATCATCATCCAGTCCAGCGAGGAATATATGCACCCTTAATATTTCAATGGACTTCTGATATAACTTCACATCATCAAGGTCCTTCATGAATACTTTGTCACGATGGTCCAATTCCCTAAAAATCTCAACCAACTCCTCATAATATTCAGTTAAGGTTCTATTATTTTGTTTTGCAGTAAATGTCCTTTGATTAAGGGAAAACACCTGTAGCTCATCACTTTCATCATAAAACGCCTTTGACAAAACATTTCAAATACGAGGGCAGTGGGTAAGCGAAGATACATTTTCATGATTTCTGGCTTCATGGACATCAGTAGCCATCTTTTCACTTTTTGGTTTTCAACATACCATTTTTCATATCCCTCATCTTTCTCTGTTGGAGGTTTCACCTTCCCATAGATGTAGGACAATTTTTCCCTCTCTGCAATGTGCATCTCCATTAGTTGTGACTATACGTCATAATCAGATTCATTTAGGATGATGTTTACGTTGAAGACACCTTCAAATTGAACAACCACTGAAATTAATTTTTCTGTCATCTCTCTAAGTAAAATCTCCAAAGATTTAGAAAGAAAAGAAAAAAATTATAAGTTCTGGTACCAAATTGAAAAACAGAATTCATTCTATAATTTTATTCATATCATTTTTATACACAGATACTATGATCTTATAGTATTTTACTCTAACAAATCGGACTAAATAAAGGAAGTTCTGATTATACAATATTTTGTACCACTATATAAACCTATAATTTAACTAATCAAATATTTTTATCCCAACAAAATGTACTAAAAAATAATTATACACATTAATCCTCTTTATTATTTTTATTTATATATTGTATCGTCCATTTCATTTATGAAAAATAGTACTATATAATCTTGTAAATATTTAATAATTTCTGAAATTTGAATATTTTGATTATCTATGCTTATAAGAGTAAAAATATTTCTGTGTTCTAAATATTATATATAATTAGATCTAAAGACTAACGGCTTTAAAATATCTTTTCTAACTACTTCTAAAAATTGATTTTATATAATTAATTTATTTAAAAATAAAGCACAAGGTTATTTATTATTTTATATTGATTTAGTTGATTCATTTTTACTTTTTTTAAAAAACCAGTAATTTAAAGCATTATAATGGAATCTCTTATAAATTTATTAATTATATTTAATTGGACTTTTATACTTGGCTTCCAGAATATATTTTGTAGCTATATAGTTATATTTAGCAATGTTAATCGAATTTTGAAAAGCTAGCTATAACAACTAAAAAAAAATAGTATGTCCTCGAAAATTGTCAAACTAATTTATTGAAATATAATTATTTTATAATGTTTTCTATTGATAGAAGTATAATTATATATGGATAAAAAAGATTTAAGTACTATTTTTATATAAAATTTAATTTGATTTTATAGATAAAAATATGTTTTGAATATTTATAATTTAAGTTTTCAATTAATTTAGTAAATTTGTATTCATACATAAGTTTTTTTTAAGTATTAGTTAAAACACACATAAAAAGAATATTAGGCTTCGATCAAATTAAACGGAATATTTTTGTACTTACCAAACTATATGAAATTATTTAAATAGTTTAGCGAAAAGACAAGTAGTTTTATTAAGTGGTTTCTTCTTATTATTATTTTTAGTAAGCCTCTAGAATTCATCCAAAATAGTAAATTCTTAACTACGCAAAGGAGAAGTTAAGTGAAACGTATTTTATAAGCAAAGGAAAAGTTTAACTAAACTTCGAAAAATAAAATTAATAATCCTAATTTTCTTTTATATATAAAAAAAAGTTAGGCGAGATTTAATTATAATTTCATAAATTCATTTAGAAATAAATTTCATAAATTAAGATCTATTATAACATTTGAAATATTATTTATGTTAACAATTCTAATTTATTATAATTTTGTTATTAAAAAATATTTCAATAAATTAATAATTATATATATATATATATATAACTTTTATTGATTTGGAATCTAGATAATATAATATTCATACTAAACATGATTTAAATTAGAAAAAGTAATTTAGGTTTGGATTAAAAATATTTATAATAAAATATTCCTTGAAAGTTCGATAGTGACACATGTGAGTGGGGAAAGACACTGGAAAATTGACCTAAGAAGACGGTTTTTGCACGTGTAAAGCGAGAGGTACAAGTGTGTGGTATTTTGACTAGAATAACAACGGAGAGGCTGACGTGAGAAACAAACAAACATTGCTTCTTTCATCTTCGGAGTCTGCATTCCTCATAAATACCCCCTCTCCTTCTTCCACTTCCTCACACCACAATTTCCCAACACCTCTCCCAATTAAATTCTCTGTTTCTTCTTCGTATTTCTGTTTCACTAATTTCTTAAGTGTTTAACACCTCACCCACCTCAGTTTCATTCATATTATACACTAATTTCCGATTTTGACGCTGCCATAATACCAAGGGTGGTGGTAGCGTTCAAACCAGAACCATGAAGGTTGGGTGCAATGTGGTGCAGGGGTTGAAGCCTACGCTGCTAATGCTAGTCGTGCAAGTAGCGTTTGCTGGGATCAACATCTTCTACAAGCTTGCCGTTAACGATGGCATGAGCTTGAGGATCCTTGTTGCCTACCGATATCTATTCGCCACAGCTTTCATTGCTCCGCTTGCTCTCATTCTCGAAAGGTAATACCTCCTTCACTCTTCAATATTTCTTCTTCAACCTTTTCACTCTTTCCTCTTCATCGTTTACGCGTATATATAATATACTATAATCAGAAGAATAATTTCTTCTACTCATTAATTGATACCATTTTATGACTTTACGTGTTCCCATGGATCATCCATAAATACCATTTTTTTGGAATATCAAGTCATAAGTAGAATGATTTGTTAAACCCACTTTGTGCATGCGTTCAGATAATTCAGTATTTGAGAATAGTCCTCTGAAGAGTATGGGTTTTCATTACTGGGTGAAAAAGGTGAAGATGAATAGCAATGAGAGATATTGTCCATGCATTAGGCACGGTGGTTTCCAAAATTTTATATATTTATTATTTTGATCCTAATTTAATCATCTTTTATATTATTTGGAACCTAGTCATATGTATAATTTTAATCTTTTCATTTAATATTTTGTAAGAAATATTAAAACAGATATTAATATCTATTATTTATTATTTTTTTCATATTTATTAGTCTCCAAAATTGTCGATTAAGAGAAATTAATAGCAAACAGAGTGACATGGTTTTCTTGGTTGATGATTGGCAGGAAGGAGAGGACAAAGATGAGTTGGACGATACTGTTTCAGTCATTTAATTGCGGCTTGTTTGGGTAGGCGTTTCCGTTTAACTATTCACGTGCGAGTTTCTTGTTTCTTCGGTATCGTTTCTTGGTGCTCTTCTTCTTTTGGCTAAGAAATCATGATCAAACTTTGGTTGCAGCGAAACAAATGTCATGTGAAAATGACGATGAGTTTGTGGACTGTGTCTGCACCATGAATTTGTATGAGTAGGTGGCTATAAATTACCTGATACTTCTCCACTTTCAACATCAAACCGTTTTTTCCTTCTGTGTCTCCCTTCACGCGGCAACTTTTCTGTGGAACTTTCTACAGATCTATTTATTACAGATTATGAATATATATAAAAATACACCATGTATTACTCCTTTAACTCTAATAATTTATTACTAATAACTCAACTGTTAATATCATTATTTTCACTCTGTTTAGCAATATTTTTCCAAAAATACATTTCAATATATTTTAATTAATTTTAAACACTCTTTATTACTCTCATTTCGAGCTCTAATGCATGACTTTTACATAATATTTTAAATGTAAATTGATATTATTAATTACTTTTTTAATTAGAGTAAAATCATTTAATGTTTAAACTTTATCTTCTAAAAGAGTATATCATATGAGAAGCCAAAATAGGGATAAAAAAGAAACACAAATATAAATTTGTAATTATATATATATATATATATATATATATATATATATATATATATATATATATGAGTTAATAATTTTTAATATATTTTTTTATCTTAAAATTTAAACCCTTAAGTCATTTTTATGGGCAGTTAAGAAAATTCTTTTTAAATTTATGTCTTTTTTTTCTCCTTTATCATTTCTATTTTAGAATTTTAGAAAAGAAAAACATCTCTAAGAGTTTTGTAAAGACTTTTTTTTTAATTGATGTCTTTCTCTCTTTTATTAATCTTATATAGAAAAGAAAAAGTCTTTAACAGTTGTCAGATTGATATATTTCTCTTTCCTTTATTAATCATATTTCAGACAAAAATAAATCTTTAGACAGTTTTTAAATTAATGTCTTTAATCTTTTTATTTATTTATAGTATTTTATAAAAGAAAATTTCTTAAGAGGGTTTTTATAAGAACTGGTTTATTTAATATAAAAATTAAATTTTTATTTTTATTTTTAGAAATTATTTAAAACATATCTAATAATAACTTCCTTTATTTCTTGAATTGTAGACACTATTTCTTTAAAAAGAAAAGAAAAGAAAAACCTATAAGAAATGGTGTTTCGAAAATAAAAAATATTACAAATTATATTTTTCAAAATAAATTCTTCCATAATAAAGATCACATAACATATCGAAGATATTCTAGGATATATCATATGAATATAGCATGACATTGAAATTTATAAATAATAAATAAATAAAAGAATAATTAGCATGATATTGAAGTTTATAAATAATAAAAAAATAAAAAAAATAAAAAAGTATATGTTTGAGCTTTAAAAAAACAAATAAAATAAGTTATCGCCAAAATCATTTTTAAGTTATAAACTAATAGAAGAAAGCCTATTTACTGAAGATGTTAATAATGTAGACAAATAAATCTATGTTATTCTTAAATCAAGTTAAGAACTAGTTTAACTTATTTCAGATGTCTTAACAAATTCTTACTGAGATTTTTCTGCTTCGCTAGTTTCACACAAATCGCACCATATCGTTTAAGAATGGTTTTCCTTCTTTCTTTTATTATAAAATGTAGATTGCAGTGATAATAAAACAAGATGTGTTTCTCTAGGTAGAAAATTTAGGATTGAATTATTTCGGTAATTTTTATGAACGAACAGTTTCTGATTGAATACGCAGGGGAGCGTTAGCTCAAAATTTCTACTTGCAAGCCCTGGCTTTAACTTCTGCAACATTTGCATCCGCAATGGCTAATCTTGTACCAGGCATAACCTTTATCATGGCGCTTTGCTTCGGGTAAGTATTGTACACCTCTCATATTATTTTTCCAAATTCTCTTAATTCACTTTCAAATTCATTCTTTGATTATTTTCAGTATGGAAAGATTAAATTTGAGAACAACAGCAGGAAAGGCCAAAATAATGGGTACATTAACTGGCATTTGTGGGGCAATGGTTCTTACCTTCGTTAAAGGTCCAGATATCGAATTAGGGTCCTTTCACTTCAACCTTTTGACCAAAAACGCTGCGCACCCGCACCCTAGCTCTGGTTCTAAGACCGTCTTGGGTTCTCTCTGCGCTCTGGCTAGTGGCATCAGTTATGCGTTGTGGCTCATTATTCAGGTAAACAAGCTTTTTTTATTCTGATTTTTCTTATGTGTGTTTCTCATACATTTTCTAATTTTCTATTTCTATCTCTCATATTCAATGTTATTGAAGTCTTGAATTGCGTTGTAAACTATTTTTGATCAGGCGAAGATGAGCGAAATATACCCTAGTCCGTACTCGAGCACGGCGTTGATGTCTTTTTGGGGTGCACTGCTGTCCATTGTGTTTGCACTTTGCTTTGAGAGGGACTGGAATCAGTGGAGGTTGGGTTGGAATATTAGGCTTTGGACTTCAGCATATTCGGTATTCAAATTTCCCTTTTGTAATTTATTATGTAAAACAATAACATGAAAATCGTTTATGATGTCATTGTTGGTTGTATTCTTGTATATGACTGAGAACAAATGTTGTGAATTGACTGGTGTTGTAGGGTATTGTGGTTTCTGCGGTGATGGTGGTTGTGATTTCATGGTGCATCCAAATGAGAGGCCCATTGTTTGTCTCTGTTTTTAATCCCCTGTTGCTTGTGATCGTGGCCTTGGCTGGTTCCACCATGTTGAACGAGCAGCTACACCTTGGATGGTATGTGTACCTTTTTCTATTAGTGGTTTCAGAATTGCAATCATTAAGGTCTGGTTAGATTAAACAGTGACTGCATCATAACTTAATTTATCACCCACAAGTGCAGTTAATAAGTGCTTATGCCTGCCATTAATTAGTAGTTGCGTAAGGTTCATAACTACTCATATAATCCTTTATTATACATAATTACACGTCCATTGTTTTCAATTACATCGTTATTGATTGTTTCTTAAACGAATTTGTATATATATATAAATTTGTTTCAGCGTTATTGGAGCAGTGGTGATTGTGTGTGGCTTATACGTGGTTTTATGGGGTAAAAGTAAAGAGATGAAGAAGAAGAATCAATTGGTGCCAGCACAAAGCCCCCCGGAGGAAGAGACTAATGGGGTGGAAGTAGTAGTGAGGAGTGAAGTAGAAGATAAAAGCAACCAAAACAAAAGCATGAAAATGGTGAGAGTAGATAGGGATAACCATGAAGATGGAGACGTAGAGCATAGTTCAGAACAGGATGAGGAGGGAAAGGAACGAGGAGAAAAGGAAAATTGTAATATTGTTTCCCATGATTAAATCTTCAACGTATTCCAGCTAGGAATAGATGATAGATTAATTAATTGAAAGCTTCCTTTTCCGACTCAAACCAACGTGCTCAGGGCATTTTTGTTGGTGTTGGAAAACGGAAAGCACTTTTTAGCATGTTCGAATGTGTTTCTTTTTTAAAAAAGAAAAACGTGTTTTGATCACGTCAATGTACTAATCTCACATGTAAACTTATCATTGGTTTCAATCGGTAATACATATTTTCAACTCAATTCATTTTCTTTTAATTTTTTCCCAAAACATTATAATTTAATTAAATAAATTAAATTGTTAAGTTTTGTATAGTTGATCAGTTTTTAAAAATACCAATTCTTAATATATTTTTTGTAAATTCAGAAACATTTAAATAATATAAATAATTCAATAATTAATTAATACAAAATATAATATGATTTCAAATAAATTAGTAAGGAAAAAAATTAATTAATTATAAGTTAAAAGCTAACTGAAGTAACACGTAAAAATAAACTAAAAGATAATAAAATTACATAAATTTTTGTTTTTATGAGAAAGGAAATTCAATGTAATACATGTACTTTCTTTCTCTTTCTTTCAACATTTTTTTAGCATGTGTCATGGATGCCTATGCTTAGTTTATAGCAAAATAAATATGCAAATGTACATAGGATATGTTATTTCTCCAATAATGTAGATATATTTTATGGGTTGTAATTTTTTTAAAATATATTTTTAATATAATAATTTTGAGTTTAATATAATTAAAATATTTTATCTAATTTTTATATAATATTAATTATTCACTTAATGATATGTATGTTAGTGAAATTTGAATAATATATAAATGAATTAATTTTATACATTGTTAAATACACTTAAATCAATAGAAAAAATATACATATTATCTATATCTGGTGACAATAATTACAAATGTAGTAAAGTATTTATTAATATATAAAAAAATAAAAAAATTTATTTCTATTAAACACAAAAATTTATTATAATTATTTTATAAAAGATATATTTTACTAAAACTTAAACAAAAAGTAATTGAAATTTCATTTTTAACAACAAAAGGGGTTCAAAGGCCCAAGACAAAAACCAAACTTAAACAAGAGAGTGTGTACCACGGAAAAGCCCATGGAATTACATATCAGAACCAGCAAAAATACGAACCCGAATTTCTTTCTATCCTTATTTTATTTTTCTCGCCTCTTCTTTATTTTAGAATGTGAAAAATACTAAATGCCTATCCAAAATGAATTAAATGTTAAAGAAAAAATTGACCACATGTAAAAAGTTAGAACCACGAATTAATGAGGGGGGAATTCCGATAATAAATTTTATGGTGTCAAAGTCATTAAGTAGAAAGAGATATATGGTCAACTATTTCGATTTCATTGATAAGTTAAACATTTATTCATTTTTAATATGACATATTCAACGACCAAGTTTGTTCCTCTATCATTTTATTTCTTAATTCGACTCATTATTATGTTACTTTTTAAATATTTAGTTTCACATTCTATTAATAAAATATATTTAAAATTTTATCCATTAAATATATAACTAATTTATAATATGTAATTAATACACAAATCACATCTTATCCGTTAATCTTATAGGATTGAAATTAAAATGATTTATAAAAAAAAACTACAACTTTATCTTATTTACTCTAATTTATCAATCTCTCCTTCTCTTCTAATTTTAACAAAGTATCAGGTAGTCTTAAATTACAACTTATATTATGGACTCAATTTAGTTTATTTATATAATACATATTTATATTTATAATTATAATTTAGATAATTTTAATTTTTATGAAATATTTGTCTTTCATTTTAATCTCACTAAAAATTTAAAATTATTATTTTTAGTCTCAAACATCTATTTCCAGTTAAATAATATTTATTTTGCAAATCCTAAATTGTTGTAATGATACATACAATAATAAAACTGGTTGAGTGATTAATAGATCAATAATAGAGAATTAAAAAGTGTAATTTAGAACTAGAATTGAAAAATTATTTATTTTAGAAGGATTAAAGATATATTTAAATATAAAATTGATCTTATTATGATCAAAGTAATAATTTTAATATAATAAAAAATGAATGGAGAAAAAAAAGGGAATAAAGATAAAAAAAATAGTGAACAAAAATGAATAAAGCCCAAATTCTTATTTACTGGTAAACAATTAAGAACTTAAAGTTGGAATATGACCCAACATATTTTATTTATAGCCGAACCTCTGGGCAAAATGACACGAAATCAATTTTGAATCACATGTCATTAGACATGACTTTACGTAGCAAAGTTATCCACCGCCACTACAAAGGAACACAGAACCTAGGTAGATGATGCCCTAGCCTAGGCTTGTTTTAAAGTTAAAACCTGATTGATGGTTACAACCCATCATCATCACCATCTATGAATGGAAGAAACAAATTTGGAATGTGGTCGAGCTATGAAAAGGAAGGAAAAAGCTTAACCAAAGTATCAAAGTGGAATGAAGGAACCCTACGTGGATTAGGGCTTTGCCACTACTGCTTTCTTCTCCACAACCTCAACACTCGTTCCAGATAGTGTCCTTTCAAAAGAACCCGCACAACAATGGAAAAGATATGTCAGTTGTTGTTTTTTCCTATGAATTCTACCTAAGAGATTGTTAAAAGCATAGTGTTTAAAACTTATGCTAACACTCCTCTTTATTTATGTTCTCCTTTCAAAGAGAATAAACACCCAATAGTCTTAAAAAAACATTTAATTTTTCTTAACCTTAAGCTAATTTCGTGATATGTCTTTATCTTGTTTGGAACATTGTTCCTGTCAAAAGTAGTATCTTCGAAAAAAAATTTGATATGGTTGTTTCTGGGTTACAGTTCAATTAATTCGTAACCCACGTTGTTTTCAATCTGTCGTTCATATTGCTTTCTGATTTAACTCAGTGGAATATGTGAATCTAGATTTGGTGTCCTTGAAATGAGTTTCCAAACACACTCTATATCATTAATAAATTCTATTTCAAATTTGATTTATCGCGATTAAGATAAATATATATATATATATATATATATATATATATATATATAATTTTTATATTATGCAATGGTAATTTTGATGGGAAAAAAATGTAATATAAAAGAAACAAATTATCATGGCTGAAGGAGTGTGTATTCATGTGACTTATCATATGAATCCCTCCAAATATCTATTTTTCTTGCTTCTTATATAATGTTTTAGTATTAAAAAAAACATTATTAATAATTGTATTATAATTATGTGTTATGTAATCGATACTCCTTCATTAAAGCAAAATCTCAACTTGGAACAATAAATATTATTATAAATTTGAATTTATCCATAGAGTTTGTCTGTTATGCAATAAAACAACAATGATTAATGATTATTGTAGTTAATTTAGAGTTACTTATAGGTGGAGTCACACTTGGTTAATGATTAAGACTCTCCTAATTATGTATAAACTACGTAGTATGGCATCTTCTATCCAATTCATTTCAATGATTTGTCTTTTAATTATTGTTCCGTGTCTTGTATATTTCTTAATTTCTTAAAAATAGTTATAACACGTTTCAACTTCACTAGAAGAGATTTATGGAAAGAAATAGTGTGTAGAATGGGTGAAGCAAAGAAGTAAGATCAATTAATGGCTATATATGTAAACACTCGTAAGAACCCAACTTCGTTACCCAAAAATGCGATGGTTAAAGGGGTATTACGTAGACTTTGAATCTCCTTTATCTGGCTTTTCTATTCTTGTTGGTTTCACTTCTCTTCCACGGCACTTCAAAGTTCAAACTCATCAACTAAGTGACTACTTCTAGTGACGCATACATGGATGATTGGAGAACGATACATATCTATATAGGCTTGACAGCTTTGAGGATCATGCGAATGAATTTTCAGATGAATAAGGAGGGTTTTTGAAAAGGAAAAGAAGAGTAGGAAATTGTGGAGGGTTGGAGCACTAAGTAGAATGAAGCCAAGTGGCTTTGTCATTCATTTCCACCATCAGGTTTAGGTCTAGGTGGCATGTGCTCACTAAACACTGAAGCAAAAAAGTTATTGCTTGTTATGGAAGAGGCTTTGCTTTTGTGGGTGAAGTTGGTGGTGCATCAGGAATTGATGGAAAATTAAGTCCATTTAAATGGCCTTCCTTTGGGGTGAGTGGATGCTGACTGAAACAGAAAAAATGAAGGACCATGAATGACAAATATTGCCATTCAAACAAGGTTGCCCCATATTTTAATGCATTGGTAAAAACCCTAATCTTTGAACCAAATTTCAGATCAAATCAGTACTTATCAAATGAGTTGAATTGAAGTTTACATCAACTCGTGAAGTTTTCCAAGTGAGTTGTCTTTCCCAAAAAGTTACCAGAGTATTTCTTGTAGGCAATTACTAGCTACCACCATGCATTAACACATGCTCATATCACAATCAACATCACTCCAATTGGAAGCACGTTAGCTATAGGGTACAAAAGATTAAAGATATATAACAAGTTTCAAAAGTTTTGCCTCTCTTTTAGTTTATTCAGAAACAAAATAATGGAATTCTGAGACCCCCACTAACCTAACCCTCACCCTTTTTCTGCTGCTTTTCATGTCCCTCTTTGCCTTGGGTGTGCACTACATGTTGTGTTTAACCAAATTACATATAACATCCAATATGGCATTTACCTCTCCTTTAGATTCCATGCTAGATGAAGTTGAAAGTGACAACTTCTGACAATTTCCCAAAAAACACGCTTTAAAGTATTTAATTATTATCCAGTGTTACAAACCATATTTCCCAGAACATTCATCCCATGATCTCAACTTTTTAAGATTATTTTTTAATGTTTTATAACCGAAATCTATTGGCTTGTAAGAATTGTAGGCTTCTGTTCCATTACGCACGCCTCATGCTCTTTCTATTAATCAACTTTTGACCTTAAAAAACTCAAAAACTATTGGATCTGCCATATCACCTGGAAACAGTTACAT